TGCTCTCTTCAGATTAACGGAGAGACAGTGGAGCAGGTGGAGAAGTTCAAGTACCTCGGAACTGTATTTACTAGTGATGAAAAATTTGAGGAAGAGATCGACCGGCGAATTGGAGTAGCCAGTGGCGTTCTGCGAGAAGTAGTCCGATCCGTTGAATAAAAGACCTTGGTCTGAAAACTAAGCTCTCAATATTCAAGTCGATCTTTATCCCCATACTTACCTACGGTCATGAATCGTGAACCATCACTTAAAAGCTTCGAACCCAGCTACAAGCGGGTGAGAAAGTACTTCTTTGACGAGTCGCTGGCCTTTGAGTCTCGACATGGTCTGGAATACTGACATCCTCGTGACACTCCTTTTCTCCAGAATGAGAAGTCACAGCTACGATGGACATGTATTGTGAATGCCTCCAGAAAGGGAGGCGAAGCAATTATTTCTTTTCCAGTTAGCGGAGGAATGCCCAGAAGACTGCCAAGATTAACTTGGAGCAAATATGTGGTAGAGATCTGCTCCAGACTCCAGTTGTCTTCTGCCGAGGCTCATACTCTATCCAGGATCAGGAACGTTGGAAGCACTGTGTGATGTATCTCTCCGCGACCCGAAAGGAGATGGAAGAAAGCAATCGGAAAAGAGAATGGAGAAGCAGTCATGGAAATTGAATTGTCTGTATCATATTGAAGCAATTTTAATATATACCTTTTGTATATAATGATTTTACTCTATCGTACTTCGATTAACTTTGTCGTTTCTAGTTTAGAAGGACATAATGTTTTTAAAACTTAATTTTATGTTTTCAGACAGTAGTCATATGATTACGAAATGACCAGTATATCAACCATAACGCCGAATTTACACCAACATATGTAATTACCTTCCGTAGATGTTTCGACTAATTCCTTGTAGTGGTGTGAAGTCTGGAAAAAGGCGTGCCTTTTCCATTGATGGTACACCTTTTCTATCGTGAACAGATAGGTTTCCTTCGATCTTCTCCACTTCTTCGATTAGTCCGTTAAATCGTTTGGCATCCGAGGTTGTTTTGCGTTTTATAATTTCAGCATACTGCTGGAATTGACACCAAGTGATTCTGTGACAAATTTCAGCAAGTCTAAATTCCTCGTTGCTTACCTGATAGAAATGTATTAACAGCTGCTGTTGTCCGATGACCGCCTCCTGAAATTTCGCTAATTCGAACAGCTCGATCTGTCGCGGGAGATCCGTGCTGAAGGCGTTGTCGCCGTTCGATCCCATTCGATTACAAG